GGGGGATAAAATCAAGAAGATGAAGCCAACATCATCCTCACAAATTCATCATAGCTGACTACACCATCTCCATCCAGATCAGCTTCTCTTATCATTTGTTCAGCCTCTTCATCACTTAGTCTTTCTCCCAAATTTATCATCACATCTCTTAACTGCACGCATACCAGGACAACATAAATATCCAGTCAAAATATGAGGAGGTTCAACAACAAAAATTAATAGCAATTTATTGTTAAATAACAAGAAGGGTGCAGGGCAAGATGGGATGGAATGGATGAGACGTGGTGGGGCGATGATTTTTTAGGATGGAACCACAATTCTGTACAAGTAATACAGAGCTAGGCATCAATCTTAGCCATGTAGAAGTTGTGCATTAATGGAGCATGTAACCCTCCTTGATTTGAGGAAGAGCAACGGATAGATCGTCACTTAATCGGGGCCCAGATGACATAGTACTTCGTCTTATTTTGGGGATTAATAAAGTTCCACTTATATTATGGGATAGATGATTGACCTTTAAGGAAATTGTGCTACTCCACATAATAGTTTAATCTTTCGAGATGAAACTCTAATCCCCTTTGAGAATGGGGCTGAATGGAGTTAATCAAGAACCTGCTATGTCTACAGAAAAATGCTGCTCTAGTTGAAATTCTGGGAGCTCTACTTCTGTACAAGCAGAGAAATCCAATCAAGAATAGATATTTATGGGAATTCACCTCATTGGCGGATATGAATCCATCTTGATCCCTGTCGAAAACTTTGAAAGCTTCTTTTAGCTCCTCTGTTACATTGTCCTATCAAACATAAATTAATTCAGTTTATACTTCCCAACACTTATATTAATGCATAATTTCGATTAATTTGTTCATAATACCTTCATCTTTCTAGCCATAATACCCAAAAACTCTTCAAAATCTATGATGCCATCTCCATCACTGTCAACTTCATTCATCATTTCTTGAATTTCTTCCTTCGTTGGATGTTCATTCAATGAGTGTATTGCTGCCGCAAGTTCTGCCATAGTGATTACACCTTTACATAGGGGAAAAAAAAGTTCCTCAGTCAACCGAATATGATTATCAGTCGAGCATGAATAAAAGTCGGTCTTAGTGATCCGACACTACCAAGTGGAAGGCAGATTTCTTGACCGATAAAACATGACTCTACTGAAAAAAAGGAGCAGAAAAATACCATCAGAATCTTTGTCAATCAAACAAAAGGCTTCCTTGAACTCAGCAATCTGTTCTTCTGTCAATGCATCTGCCATTTTGGTGATTATGATCTTGATTCACAGTCTTCAAACAAAATGGGAGACGGGGTTTTTTTATTTTTGCTGTCCCAGTGTCCCAGGAAAAGGGTAAGAAAATAACAGAAATATGACAAGATTTATGGCAAAACACTTGAATTACATTGGGATTCGTTTTCTCAAGTAAATGGTTAAAAGTCTAACACACTAAGGGAAGAAAATAAATCAATCAACATTCAAGAAAGAAAATTTAGGGTCCAAAATCAACGGTTTGAATGGAATAGAATACTGCAAGTCTGCGATGGGCACCTTAATATTGGCTGAGGTGTCTAAGTCAGCTCGACCATGACTGCAAATTTTTTTGGGGTTTGATTTTTAAGGTTATTTAGGATACTCTACGCGTTCTTGCAAGTCAAAGCAACTTATTCCAACCATTGAATATTTCAAATAAACGCCCCATTATTTCCCATTAAATTATAATTCATTTTTTCCTCTCTTTTTATTAATCATGTGTTTTCTAATAAAATAATATTATAGGTAAATTCATAAATTTTTTTCTTCTTTTTAATCACATATTCTTTAAAAAATTATCATTCTTCTCATTATAACATGGAATAATAGCGGCCAACGGGCACTTAATGAAATTTTTTTAAACGAATTTAAATTTTTAGATAAGATGATACAAAAGTAAAGACTAAATTCGAGTGTCGATGTCATATTAAAAATAAGAGAATGATATTTGTCATCATGACAGGGATCGCCAATCATTGTTGCAGTGCGATCACTCCCACATTATCTAAAAAACTAAAAATACATTTAAACTTTATTGAGTTATGTGTTAGTGGCGTGATTACCACATAGATCGGTGATCATCCGTACTCATGATGAATAGTATTATTCTGAAAATAAATTTGGGCGTTGGTGGTGTTGAAAATCAATTATTAATAAGCCCTTGTTTGGTATCCATTATTTTTAAAATACATTTTTCTCTCTTTTATTTTTAACCACACATTTTTTAATAAAATAATATTATACTCAAATTCAAAATTTTTCCTTATTTTTTAATCTCGCATTTTTCATCAAAATACTATTATAAACATTTTGAACAAATATAGGGCTCAAATAGGCTCTAAATATATAGCTTAAATTTTTAGAGTAAAATGCGAACACTGCACATGGGAGGAAAAGAGCACTAAGAACAAGTTTATTTCTGCCTAAAAATTAAGTCAAATTTACTTGTAGATTTACTTAAAGTGAGTGACTTTTGAGAAAGTAATTTTTAGACTAAATCAAAATGATTGTGGTTTATTTGAGTTCTTGAAGAAAACGTGAAATATGAAAAGTGGTTAGATTTTCTTGACTGCTTCACACTTTTGATCTAGAATGAGTCAATAATTGAAAATATGACTGCTTCACATTTTTTAGGACAATAAATTGGGAAAAAAAATTAAAATTAATATATATATATATATATATATATATATATATATA